TAGTTTACAGTTCGTGTTGACCATTGTAACCCTGTTTTTGCTTTTGTACCCTTTAATACTGGACTGCTCTAGACATGCATCTTCAATGATGCGCGACATTGACGCGTTGAATGCGTCAAGAGATTCGTATAAAAAGCATTCAAAAACAGTTTCCAAAGTACATACCATCACCTCCAACAGGTCCACGTAACCCTAAAACCCAATCTCAAATTTCGTCCGAAAAAGGCGAACATCCAATTTTGGCACACTTGACTAGCAACCAGCCTGGGTTACCGTTCGTGAACAGTGTCGAATGTGATTCGGGATACGAGTTTTGTATTGGCAGGGTGATGAGCCCGCATGGAGCAACTTTGTTTGGCGCTGTGCTGACGCGCTGCGTTTTTATTATTATTATTATTATTATTATTATTATTATTATTATTATTATTATTATTATTATTATTATTATTATTATTATTATTATTATTATTATTATTATTATTATTATTATTATTATTATTATTATTATTATTATTATTATTTTTCCTTCTTCTTCGTCAGAGTATGCACTACGCTGCTTTGTCGAAGTTACGTAACAATTAAGATTTTTCCTTGAACTCGTGGGACACGCCCTCAGAAGGGTGGTGATGGCATGTATTCGGGGCATTTCTGTTCGTATCATTCAGGGCATTGGGTCATATCATTCCATCGTTCAGCTTGTTGCCATACTTCAATTTACATCCTTGAGAGCATAAGTTGCCCAACCCCCGTATTCAGGCATTTCAATCGGGATTTTCTTTTTGTTTACTGCCGTTTTTTTTGAAGAGTCAGATACGCCATCTTGATGTTGCAAAAGTGTAGTGTCACCATCAGACTGTCAACTAAACAAGACATGTTCAGGAAAATCGAAGAGAGCTGAAGGTGAGGAAGAAAGTACATTGAAAAAATACAGCCTGCTCCTGCTCAACATCGTACTTCGGATTGGATTATTTTGTTCGGCGAACATATAGTTATGGGTGCTTCTTGTTATACAGGACTCATGCTTCGTTGAAAGATCGCCATGAAACGGACAACGGCCTTTCGGATTTTGTCGCTTCCAGACGAGATCCTCATAGTCATCTTTCAATGTCTTTCACGTTCAGATTGGCGCAATATCGCTCTCACTTCCTCACGCTTTCACTACGTGAAGAAACAAGCACAACTTTTACTCGTACTACACATTCGGAAGTCCCCCTTGGAGCTCGTACAACGATTGACTGACGTTTCTGCCGCCAAGTATACCTGTGTTTCAAGCCTGAACATCTTTGGAAAATCGTGGCTGCATGATTCTAGAAATAACAAAAGTTCCTTCACTTCACAAGACACTGCACGTCTGTTGTTGACCATTGGCTCAACTTGTCCCGAATTGGAGAGCTTACGGATCTTTGGCCTTGGGTTCCTTGAAGAGAGTGCTTGGAGGAAGCTGGGTGGAGGATGCAGGTGAGTACAAGCTTGGCTCTCCAGTTACCGTTTTCATCTCAACTGTATCCTATTTCATAATTTTCACAGTGTTTACCCTCTCCTGGCTGAACTTATTTTTCGCCTGTCTCTGCTCCTCCCTGACTTCTCTCACCCTCTGGAACTGCAATGGATTCCACCTCTCTAAACTCACTTCCTCCTCCGCCCTTCCCACCTTACGGTCTTTCACTGTCTATAATTCAAATCTCACATGCTCTTTATCGTCTCTCGCTTTCTTTGCCAACCTTTCATCGCTTTCCTTCCATTCGTGTATGGGGCTGGATGTATATGCGAGCTCTTGCTTGCTCTCTTCATAGCCTCACACACTTGACACTAGACAAGTGCCTCTTCAGGTGTAGCAACAGTTGCTGAGGGCAACACAAAACTCACATCTCTCTTTCTTCAAGAAGGCTCACATCTTCTACTCGGTCCAGCGCGGCTCAAGCTTTGCTTGCCTGCTGTCGCCAGCTTTCTTCGCTTAGCCTTCCCAAAGGACTTGTACTTCATCCCAGTTTGCTTGCAGACTGCAGCAGCCTTCAGAGTCTTTCCATCAATGATGGAAGTGGGTCGCTAGAAGGCTTGGCTGGTATGCTGCCGCGGGTGGAGAAAGCAAGCACAGATGGAGGCAACGGCATGGGGCAGGAGAAGGCTGTAAAGAGGACACGACAGAGGGGGGCGAGATGCGGCAAGGTGGTCACTGAGGCATCAATATGGGGAAAAAGAGGCCACCTGGTTGGTGTAGCTGCTGGTGCTGGTCGACAAAACACAGCTTCGGCTTTGAAGCAGTGGCATGACTTGCATGGTCACTGTTCATGTGTGATAGGATTGGTACGAGGGGAGCTGAGGAACACAATCTATAAGTTTGAGAGGGAAGGGCTACCAATTTCGATCTTTCAGATTCAGGCTGCATTTGCTCATTTCAAGATGAAGATTTATGCGTGTGATCTTCTAAAGCAGGCTTGTGTTGAAGCCGCAGCTGCCTTAGAGGGAGAGGAGGCTTTAAAGAGACAAATCTCAGCTGCCGAAGACTCATCAGCTTTAATTCTAAAGCCTTGTGAGGCATTCGGAGCAGCAGAATTAGCAGATTCAGTGACACTACCAGCAGCTGAAGAGGGATCAGCATGGCCTTTGGTGGACGAATCTGACACTGCTGATGGTTCAGATCCAGTTGAGCAGTGTGAAACTATCATCGTTGCTTTGAGAGCACTGTCTTCACAGCTCGAGGCAGTAGATCAAGCTCTTTGAGATCCAGCTCCAGTCTTGGTTCAGAGCCCCACACCACCTGAGTTCCATCTGTCTTGCAGTCTGAGAGTGGAAGCACTTAGCATAAGAAATCCATGTGAAGTTGTAGCAGTTGACTTCACAGGCCCTGCTTCGAGCCTTGTCCCTGAATGCATTCCAGTTCACCCCCTCAACAAAACCAGCCTGGCTGCAGCAAGCCTTTTGCCACCAGCCTAACTCGTCCCTCCCTGAAGCCTCCTCGTCCGCCTTAAACACACCATCGCTCACTTCGCCCAAACCTCATGACACATTCCAGTCTATTCTATACGCCGCTGCCTTTGAAGGTCTGCAAAGGCTCTCGCTCGAACGCTGCTCCGGCCTTGAAGAAGATGACTTGGCTGCTCTACTCAATGCATGCCAGGGCTTACTCCACATGACGATCGACAGGAACAAGGACTTCTCGGATGGAGTTATATCTAGGGTGAAGCTGCCGTTCCTTTCCTCTTTGAGCATGCTTTCATGCAAGAACGTTTCTGCTGCTGGTGTCGATGGGCTTTTAAGAAGCTTCCCCAGGGTGACGCGGGTGAAGGTGGAACAAAAGAAGGTGACTGAGAGGAGTGGCAGGGCATTGAGCTGTCCGTGTGTGATTGTGATGAGTGCATGATGGCAGGTGGGGTTTGAGAAGGGTGGAAGGCACAGGTGGCAGTTGATAGAAGTTAACTCTGCAGGGATGAATGAACTATGTGGCAATGAGATACAAGTAGGAAATCGTAACTAGGGCTGTACCCTATACTGGGTACTTCACTGTAGCATAACAGAACTAAGAACATAGAAATATGTTTTGACACACCCCCTAGGCAAAGTGAGGGATAGCCAACAGAACAAATGGTCACAAGACCAGTCAGGCAAGAGAGCAAAGCCCAGGGTGGATCTCAAGATCACCACTCATTCAGAGCACAAGCAAGCGGCCACAAGGCCAGTTCACATGCAGAGTTATAAGAGCACTAACAGTACAGTGATCACAACCTTGCAAGAACAAGCATGCATGTATATATATGAAGATCACAGTACAAGACAAAGTCAAGCGACCAGCAAGTGAGGCACAGTGGGCCAAGGCCTAGAGCAGTGCAAAAACGCTGATGATCACTAGATCCAAAGGCCTTGGTGAAGACATCAGCAGTGTTGGCTTGTGTGGCCACGTAAGCAAGGTGCAGGTGACCACGCTGCTGTAGCTCCTGAGCAAGAAAATAACGAAAAGCAATGTGCTTCGTTCTTTGCTCCAGCCTCTGCTCGTGACACAAGGCAAGCATGGCCTTTTTGTCAACGCACAGAACTGGAGGAGAACGAGGCCACTCCCACAAGTCAATCAGCAGGTAGGTCAGCCAGCGCAGCTCCTGAGCAGCCATAGCCCCAGCGTAGATCTCGGGTACCCTTACAGCTGGAACTTAGCACAGAAGACGAACGAGTGGACCTCCACGAGACAGAGCCAGAGCCAAGACTGAAGGTGTAACCCTGTGACGACCCCTGATGCCTGATCGTCAGCCCAAGAAGCGTCAGAGTGTCCTGTGAGTACAACTGGACCATGTCCTCCAAGCACGAGCCCCATGCCCGATGTACTACACAAGTAACGCAGTACCCTCTTAGCAGCATCCCAGTACACCTTTGGGTGTCTGTCGGGAGCCACGTAGCGAGCCAGGAGGCTGAGAGGGTACGCGAGGTCAGGTCGTGTGCACGTCATCAGGTACATGAGGCAACCCACAAGCTCTGGATACGGACCACTCGGCTCTACGGACTCGTCCGAAGGTGGAGCTGAGAGCGAGTGACCTGTAGGCAGAGGAGTGGCTGGGCAAAGACGATGAAAACTGGAAGCCAAAGCGCTGAAGGACCTGGTGCACCATGTGTGACTGAGTCAGAATGATGGTGCGCCGTGCTCTGTCCCGGGTGATCTGCAAGCCAAGATAGTTGCGCAGCTCACCAAGGTCAGTGCAGGTGTGTCTCTTCTGCAGCTCCGACTTCATGAGGGTCAGTGCCTCAGTGTCAGCAGTAGCAAAAACCAAGTCGTCGACGTACACGAGGATGTAAAACGGCGGCAGCGAAGTGTCGGTGCGCAGGAACAGCGACGGGTCAGCAGTCGAAGGAGCAAACCCAAGAGTCGCAAGTGTCGTCCTCAGTGTGTCGTACCACTCACGAGGCGCTTGGCGGAGACCGTAGACTGGCCGCCGGAGGTGCCACTAGGTACCTGTAGGAAACGACCCAGTGAAGCCAGGTGGGCGGTGCAGCCAGATCTCCTCGTGCAGGCTGCCCTACAAGAAAGTTGTTGAGAAGTCGAGGGAGTGAAGCTCGTAGTCACGTTGTGCTGCAACGTGCAGCAACACCCGAAGAGTGGTCATCTTCGGGGTGGGGGAGAAGGTCTGGAAGAAGTTGACCCCCTTTCGCTGACTGAAGCCTCGAGCAACGTAGCGCGCCTTGAAGACAGGTGGAGAACCCGGCGGCCGCTTCACCCTTAAAATCCACATGTCATCGACTATGTTCGCCCCAGGAGGGGGAACCTCGTCGACGTAGGTGCCTGTGGACTTCCAGGAAGCCATCTCCGCGTCCATAGCTGTTTGCCACTGAGAGGAGTACTCACCCGCGATCGCCTCAGCATAAGAGCGCGGGGTCGGGATGTCTAGTGCATGTGGGTCTCTCTCAGGGCAAACAATCATGGATTCGAGACGAGGTAAAACAACCGCTAGACACTCAAGCTCAAATTGCCTGTCCTCAAGGACGTCCGTGTTAAGGGCATACTCACCCCTGACGAACGGAGGACAGTCAGACTCAGACTCAGTGACAAGACTCGCGACGTAGTCGAGACGACATGCGGCAGCAAAGTCAACAAGCTCAGCGACTAAGGCAGACGCAGCAGTAGACTCAAAGGAAGGGTCAGTGACAACAGTAGCGAGGAGACGAGTGACAGTAGGACTAGCAGCACGAGCAAGGTCGGACGGAGGGTCAGGAACGTCAGGAAGAGAGGACGTCAGAGGAGACAGTAGAGGAACACCCTGTGGAACTGAGGAAGGATGCAGTGTCATAGTGTGCGTGCCTGGAACAGGCAGAGGACGAGGGCGACGAGTGCGATAGACAGCGCGAACAGGGGAGGCAGGACGAGACGTAGGCGCACGACGCTGTGCTAGGGAGCCTGACTGCGCAGGGTAAGGAGATGGAGCAGGCAGTGGAGAACCAGGCAATAACCGCAGCTGTGACTGGTCAGGCGGAGGACACAGGAGAGGCACAGGAAGACCAGTAGAGGATGGAAGACTAAGAATATGACGAAGTGCCGAGCCAGGCGGTGGCAGGGACGACTGCGGCTGTGGGAAGAAAAACAGTCGCCGCAGCGCAGCACCCACATTACCAGAGCCTCCAGCTCCACTAGCAGCTCCAGCACCGGCAGTACCTCCAGCGCCTCTAGGAGCACTAGCACCTGCAGCGTCTCCAGCACCCCCAGGACCAGCAGCAGCAGCACCTCCAGCGTCTCCAGTGCCTCCAGCTCCGGCAGTACCTCCAGCACCAGTAGCACCTCCAGCACCAGCAGCACCTCCTACACCAGCAGGACCTCCTGCACTAGGTCCGGCAGCTCCAGCACCTCTAGTACGAGCACCTCCAAGACCAGCAGCTCCAGCACCTCCAGTACCTCCAGCAGCTCCAGCACCTCCAGCAGCACCACTAGCTCCGGAAACTCTAGCACCTCTCGTACTAGCACCTCTGGGACCAGCAGCTCCAGCACCTCCAGCACCACTAGCTCCAGTGCCTCCGGCACAAGCAGAACCTCCAGTAGTACCTCCAGAACCTCCATCACTAGCAGCTCTAGCACCTGTAGCACCTCCAGCAGTACCTCCAGCACCAGCAGCTCCAACACTAGCACCAGCAGCACCAGCACCTCCAGCAGTACCAGCACCAGTAGCACCTCCAGCACCAGCAGCTCCAGTACCTCCAGCAGCACCAGCACCAGCAGCACCTCCAGTAGTACCTCCAGCACTAGCAGCTCCAGCGTCTAGCAGCTCCAGCACCAGAGCGGCCTCGTCGAATGACCCACTCACGAAGTTGCTCCGGTGAGGGCGTCTCAAGTCGATTAGGCGGCTGCTGCTGTCCAATGCCGGGACCTGCAGTAGGAGCACCCACGGCCCCACCACCACTAGGACTCGCAGCACCCCTAGAGTCAGCAACCCCAGAGTCAGCACCCCCAGAACCCTCACCCCCAGTCTTAGCACCCCCCAGTCTCAGCACCCCCAGGACCAGCACCTCCTGCGTCCTCGCCCCCAGTGTCACCACCCCCACCCCCAGCAGCACCAATGTCCACAGCTACAGGCTGCAGAGGCGGCGAAGACGGCCGAGGCGGAAAACTGAGGGGCCTCCAAGCGTGGAGAGCGACGAGTGGTCGCTGTGTCGTCAGCAGCGGGGTCACCCCCCTCAGCTGGGCCAGAGGTGTCAGAGGAGATCACCAAAGGCTCTACTAAGGGGGGTGGGTCTACCTGAGAGACACCTGAGGGAGCAGGACCCTGTGGTGGGAGGGGGTCTGCCAGGGGGGAACTGGTACCAAGAAGAGAGGCGTCAGGGGGACCGGGTGGGACGCGTGTGGGTGGAGCCTGTAAAAGCAGACCGACTCGTCAAAGGTGACGTCCTGGGAGGAGAAGACGCGACGCGAGCGAAGGTGGTAAAACTGCCACGACGGGGCGTCGGTGGGGAAGCCCAAGAAAGCGCAGCGGAGAGTGCAAGGAGAGAGCTTGCTCGCGGTGGTATCGCGAACAAGGGAGAGCACGCCCCAGACCCGAAACGCCGACGCATCGCCAACCTCCCCCGTCCAACGGAGTGTGGGCGAGGTCTCTAGCAAAGAGACACGGGGCCAGAGGTTGAGCTAATGCGCAGCGTATCAGATCGCAAATGGCCACAGAAAATGGGGAGCTGCCGCATGGATCATGGAGGTGCGAGCAACCTCCATGATCAAGCCAATGCGACGCTCAGCAATCCCATTCTGCTGCAAAGAGGCTGGAAGCGTGAAACTCTGGACAATGCCCTGGTCTCGATACAATTCCATAAGGAGGCCGGAATAGAACTCACCGCCCCTGTCAGAGTGCAGACGCAGGACGGGAAGGTCCCGCCAAAACCACTCGCGCAGCTGGCGGCGAGTAGCGCGAATCCAGGGGATCAACACCGCTGACGTCCGCCTTGCTGCACAAGGGGAAGACTGTGGTGTAGCGCGAGTAGTCGTCAGGGACCAGCAGGAAGTAGCGCTCCTGGTGTGTCCCACTGACGGGGGCCGGGTCCCACACGTCCATGTGGAGAGTCTGCAAGGGAGCAGTGGTCGGAGGAAAGGGGGAGCAGTGAGGAGCGGCGCGCTGCCGCCCCTCGACGCAGGGAAGGCACGGGGGGGCAGGCGAGCGCGAGAGGGGGGGCAGGGACCTGGGAAGGCCAGAGACGAGAAGACGGGAGTGCATGCTGTGGAGACGCGGCAGAGAGGGGTGACCGAGTCGGTGGTGCTAGAGGAAAGTCTGGTAGGAGAGTACCCGACACGAGCACGACGCCGCTAACTGACCAGACGTTGACACCGGACTCGACGCAGCCACCTGAATCGACGCAGCCACCTGTGCAGACGCAGTGGTCAGGGTGTACAGACTGGACCTAGGCTGCCGTGTGAATATAGCCTGTCCGAGAGCACGTACAGATCGCCACACGCTGCCCTCCAGGGATAAGGGTATCAACCCATGCACCCTGAAGGACTGCGTTGCTCACCAAGTTCATCGACAACGAGGGGAGGTGGAGACATGAAAGAGAGCCGGAGGGGACTGCCGGACACGGGAGGACAGTAGAGTCCTGTGCAACGACAAGATCCCTAGAGGGGTCAGCCAGGGAGACTGGGATGGGTGCAGAGAGTCGTGTGACGGTGGTGCAATCTCGAAAGAAGCAACGTGATGCACCAGAGTCAAGTGTTAAAGTGTGCAAGGCCTCAGTTGAGACAGTAGACGCACCAGTAGTAGACTCACTAGCACTTGTGGCAGCAGACGTACTAGCACCTAGAGCGGCAGCAGACTCATTAGTACCTAGAATAGCAGCACCGATAGTACCAGAGGCGCGTCGCTGAGAAAACCACTCTCGAGGCTGCTGCAGCAAGGGGGTCTCCGGAAGACTCTGTTGCCGCTGCTGTCGAGTACCTCCAGGATCGTATCCTCCACCACCAGGGCAGCCTCACTGAAAAACCCACTCACAAAGTTGCTACGGCGATAGAGTATCCAGGTGAGGTAGCTGCTATTGACTACGGACAGCCGCTGCTACTACCGTGATAGTGGCCATGACAGGCAGTGGCAGTCAGAAGTGACTGGTGTAGCTGCAGCTGTAGCAGTATCGGTAGTCGCTGCAGTAGTAGGGCAGCGCACAGGCTGTAGGGCAGGGCAGTGCGCGAGCTGCAAGGCAGGGCGGCGCGCGGGCTGCAAGGCAGGGCAACTCGCGGGCTGCGCGACGGGCTAGGGCAGGGCGCACGGGCGACGCGACGGGTTAGGGCAGGCCGCACAGGCAACGCGACGGGCTAGGGCAGGGTGCACGAGCGACGCAACGGGCTGGGGCAGGGCGCACGGGCTACGCGACGGGCTAGGGCAGGGCGCACGGGCGACGCGACGGGCTGGGGCAGGGCGCAAAACGTCGCCTAGGGGCGCGATTCGGGCACGGAAAAAGGCTTGCCTAGGGGCGCGATTCGGGCAGAAAAACGGGCAGAACAGAACTAATGGTGGGCCCTAAACGAGTGGTCCTACGGATGGACCTACTCTGCAGGGATGAATGAACTATGTGGCAATGAGATACAAGTAGGAAACCCTAACTAGGGTTGTACTCTATACTGAGTACCTCACTGTAGCCTACCAAAACTAAGAACATAGAAATATGTTTTGACAGCAGTGTACGTTGGAGATGGATTTGTTTGGATCATGTTACTGAGGTGCTGTATATTTCATACCGTAGAATTCATACCGTAGATTTCACCCCTTAGTTTGGTCTCTGAACACTGTACCAAGCTGTAGCTTCTTCGAGGCAACATGTAAGGAATTACAATTCCTTACTGTACTCGCACTTTAGCGAGTACATCCCGAAGGACACGCGACGAACCTGTTCGGCCTAATTCGTCGCACCGAACCACTCCCGAGTCGGCTCCGCACCAATCGCAACCATCACCGAGCCATCTTCGCCCTACCTCTTCGCCTAGCTAGGATTTCCCCTATTTAGGCCTCGCTACTTCATTGTTTCGTCATTCTGTAATTCTCATTCTCGTTATTCGATATCTGCGCACTCTGACAAGTTCATTCATAACACCTGGTATCAGAGCTACTTTCCTAGCCTACCCCGCTTTTTAGAGTGTATTACCCCTCGGGGGGGGGGGGGGACGAGGAAGAATGCCTTGGGGTCCAGGAGTTGCGTAGGCCGGCCAAGAGAACGGGTTAGTTGCTCTTCGCGGCCATGGATTTTTAGTGCACTCCTCGGCACCGCCAGATCCTTGCCTTCGACGGTCGCGATCGACCGTGGCCTCCCTCCCCCCGGGCAGCTAACAGCTGGAGCTGTCGCGACATCAAACGTGAGTTACTATTTCCGCTGCGTTATTTACCGACGATTTCGGATTTTGTGAGGCAGCTGGCGTCAGCGGACCTGCGTCGGCACCTGCACGAAAATCGCGGAGTCGTTATAATGTGTGGCAGTTGACGTCGATGGACCTGGGTCAACAACTGCGCGAGAATCACGGAGTGTGGCTCGGCAACTGTTGAAAACGGACATGTGTCACTGTGGCGAGATTTTCGGAGCAACTGTGGAGAAAAAGTCGGCTGGGGAACTCGCCAGGCGCAAATGGTGTTTTGCGTCCGAAAAAGTCGGTGGCGAGGAGAGACGACACGCGATGTGCCCGATTTATGCGGGATCAACTGCCGTCCCGCCCGACCTGAAGTGCAGCGGCTTTTACTGCATGGCGGGCGCGTCATCGGAGATTTCGGCAGGAGTGCACGTGGACAGACGGGAACTTCAGACCCGCCGACACTTACGGGTTGCTACAAAAAACGGAGTGGCTAAATCGCACTCAAGAGGAGTGGGACGCAGGCGGCGAGGGCAATTCGGGCCCATACATCCCAAAGAAAACTCGCATGACGCTGTGTGCCTGGTACTGTTGACTGCTGGCCGGCAATTTCGAGAGTGGATTCCCTGTAAGGAAGTCATTTTTGGGGACAGCCTCAACAGCCCACGATTAAACGGCGTTCAACGTACCGCTCCGACATTTACGGAGGAGTTGGTACAGGCTGTCAAACATTTATGCATGTTGTAGCTTTGTAGGCTACAGTGGGTTTAGCCTTAGAGGGTACAGAACTCTAGGGTTTCATATTTGTACTCTCATTCCTGTTAGTCATTCTCATTCTCGTTCTAATCTTCACATGGTATCGAGCAGGTTCCCTCGTGAGAACCGTTCCTAGGGCCCACCGACTTTTTTTTCCTGCCCGGAGCGCACTCCGCCCCTGCCCGAGTCGCGCTCCCCTCTCGCTGCCCTTAGCGGCCCCGTCGCGCCGCCCTTGCGGCCCCGTCGCGTCGCCCTAGAGGCCCCTCCTCGCCGCCCTCGCGGCCCCGGCGCCGCCTCTACTGGCCCCGTCGCCCTACCCTCGCGACCCCGCGGCCCCACCTTCGCGACCCCGGCGTCGCCCCTTGCGGCTTCGTCGCAGCTGCCCGCGACCCCACCGCCGCCCGTCGCGGCCCCGTCGCCCTTCGCGCCGCCCGCGACCTCGTCGCCGCAGCCGCCCGCGACCCTACCGTCGCAGCCGCCCGCGACCCAGTCGCCGCAGCCGCCCGCGACCCCGTCGCCGCAGCCGCCCGCGACCCCGTCGCAGCCGCCCGCGACCCCTGTCGTCGCAGCCGCCCGCGACCCCGTCGCCCCACCCGTGCGACCCCACCGCCGCCCTTCGCGGCCCCGTCGCCACACCTTCGCGGCCCAGCCGAGCAGCCGAGCCGCCGAGACGCCGGCGCCGCCGAGCCGCCGCTGCCGCCGAACTGCTGACGCGCCGCCGAACCGCCGAGCCGCCAAGCCGCCGAGCCGCCGAGCCGCCGAGACGCCGGTGCCGACGAGCCGCCGCTGCCGCCGAACTACTGCCGCGCCGCCGAGCCGCCACTGCCGCCGTGCTGCCGAGCCGCCGAGACGCCGCCGCCGCCGAGCCGCCGTTCCTGCTGTCGCGGCCCTGTTCCTGCCGGCGAGCCTCGGTCCTTCTCGCCTGCCCGGTAAGAGCAGCGCCTCCACCACTGCTCTGCCCTTGCCTGCTGCTCGCACTGCTAGTCTACTGCTGTCATGGCTACCCCCAGTGTCCTCACTTTTGATGCTGAGGGTCGGGCCATTGACTTTGACGTCTGGGTAGATGACCTGCAGCTTTTCCTACTGAGCGACAGAGCAGACGGTCTCTCCCTCGTTGACTTCACCTCTGGTGCCTCTCCTGCCCCTGCTGCTGATGCTGACGCCACTGTTCGCTCACAGTGGGCCACGCGCGATGCTGCTGCCCGCCTTGCTGTGCGCCGCCACTTGCCGACCACTGAGCGTGCGCACTTTAGCCAGTACAAGAGTGCTAAGACCTTGTACGACGCTGTAGTTGCTCGCTACTCTTCCCCTGCCACTGCTGCGCTTAGCCGCCTCATCCTACCGTACCTCTTCCCTGACCTCGCCGCTTTTCCCACTGTCGCTGACCTCATTACGCACCTTCGCACTAGTGACACTCGCTATCGCACTGCGCTTCCTGCTGAGTTCTGCGCCAAGAACCCCCCCCCAATGTACATCACCCTCTACTACATAGTCACCCGGCTCCCTGACACCCTTCGCCCGGTTAGGGACCACTTCCTCTCTGTTTGCCCCACCACCCTCACCGTTGACCTCCTCGAGGAGCGCCTTCTAGCGGCAGAGAAGAGCATAGTCGCTGTAGGTGCCTCTCGTGGTGACCCTCGTACCCCTGTCTTTGAGGGGTGCTCCCCCTCCCCTCTTGCCCTCTGTTGCCTCTGCTGCTGCGGCCGACCTCGTTGGTCTTGAGTCGGTCGCTGCGGCGTCTGCCCCTAGCGGGAGACGCCGCCCTGGCAAGGGCAAGGGGGGCAAGGGTGCTGGAGGGGCTGGAGGGGGCGGTGGAGGCGGAGGTGGAGGTGGTGGAGGGGGTGGGGGTGGTGGTGGTAGTGGTGGCGGGGGTGGGGGCGTCGGTGGCGGGACTGGAGGTGGAGGTGGAGGCGGCGGTGGCGGTGGGAGCGGAGGTGGCGGAGGTGGCGGTACTGGAGGAGGTAGCGGCGGAGGCGGTGGAGCTGGTCGGGGTGGCGCTGCGCAGAGGGTTGGCTCCGGTGGTGGTGCGCGCCAGCAGCAGCAGCAGCAGCGTACCCGTGAGACCCCTTCCCCTTAGCAGCTTCGTGAGTGGTACGCTGCTCGTCAGCGGGGCGGGGGTGCTGGCCCCTGTACCTACGTTCTCCGTACCGGCGACCGGGCGGGTGAGCAGTGTGGGGGCGCGCACTCCACCCAGCGCTGCTTCGGCCGTCTGACGGACGCGTGGCGCCACCAGTTCCCCGACGCTACTGAGATCCCTCGCTGGGGCGAGCTGTCTAGGGCGGGTGTTGCGATCTATGATCTTGATTATGATGCTATTCTTGCTGCCATGTATGCTGTGACTATTAGTGATGAGGGTGACTGTTACCGGTGTTTTCCGCCTGACCCAGGCATAGCAGCTGCTGCGCTTGGTACTTGTGAGGCTGCTGCTCTAGGTGCCAGTGCGTCTGCCGCCCCAGGTGCCGGTGAGTTTGCGCTCTCAGGTGCTGCGTCGTCACCGGACACCCACACCTTCACCCTTGACTCGGGTGCTTCCCGCTCCTTCTTTCGAGACTGCACCACTCTCACGCCGCTCAGTCGGCCTGTTGCAGTCTCCCTGGCAGACCCCTCTGGGGGTCCTGTCCTTGCCCACTACTCCACTGTCCTACCGTGTCCAGCGGTCCCGTCTGGCTCCCTGTCGGGTCTTTACCTCCCCTCGTTCTCTACGAACTTGGTGGCGGGTGCTGACCTCCAGGATGCAGGAGTTGACCAGTTCACCCCTGCGCGTCAGCGGGTGACCCACTGCACGTGTGCGGACACGGGCCGACACTTGGCCACGTTTGCCCGTCGGCCGGGGTCGAGCCTGTACACACTGACTACTAGGTCTCCTCCAGTCACTGGGTCCGCTCAGGTAGCAGCGTCGGGTCAGGTGTTTGCTGCGGCGTCCAGGTCTGGTCCTGAGTCTGCCCCCTGCTCGTGTCGTCTCCTGTCCCACCAGACTCTTCTTTGGCACCACCGTCTTGGTCACCCCTCCCTGCCTCGTCTTCGAGGCATGGCTTCCCGTCTTCTTGTCTCTGGCCTCCCCCGGTCCCTCCCTCCTCTTCCTCCGGGGCCTGCCCCCACCTGCGTTCCCTGCGTCGAGGGGCGGCAGCGCGCTGCCCCTCACTCCTCCGAGTTTCCTCCGACAGAGGCTCCACTGCAGACGCTTCACATGGACGTGTGGGGCCCAGCCCGCGTCCGTGGCCAGGGTCAGGAGCGTTACTTCCTGCTGGTGGTTGACGACTACTCGCGTTACACCGCAGTCTTCCCCTTGCGCAGCAAGGGTGACGTCACTGAGGTGTTGATCGCCTGGATCCGCGCAGCTCGTCTCCAACTCAGCACAGGAGAGTTTCGGCTCCGACTTTCCTGTTCGGCGTCTGCACTCCGACAGAGGCGGAGAGTTCTCCTCTGACCTTCTGCGGGCCTTCTGTCGTGCACGAGGCATCCGCCAGACCTTCACGCTTCCGGACTCTCCACAGCAGAATGGGATTGCTGAGCGCTGCATTGGCATGATCATGGACGTCGCTCGTACGTCCATGATCCATGCGGCTGCCCCCCATTTTCTGTGGCCGTTTGCGGTTCGGTACGCGGCGCATCAGATCAACCTTCAGCCCAGGGTCTCCATGCCGGAGACCTCCCCATCTCTGCTGTGGACGGGGAAGGTTGGCGATGCGTCTGCGTTCCGTGTCTGGGGATCTCGGGCGTTTGTCCGCGACTTGTCTGCGGACAAGCTGTCCCCTCGTGCTGTTCCCTGCGTCTTCCTTGGCTTCCCCCCTGACGCGCCAGGCTGGCAGTTCTACCACCCCACCTCGCGCCGTGTTCTGTCCTCCCAGGACGTCACCTTTGACGAGTCGGTTCCCTACTACCGTCTCTTCCCCTACCGCACTGCGTCCCTCCCTCCCCCGCCGCTCTTCCTTGTGCCAGGTCCCCCCCCGGTAGACCCCCTCCCCCCTCAGGGTCCTGCCCCCTCAGGTGTGTCCCAGGTAGACGCAGTCGAGCCTGTTGAGGTAGCTGTTGACTCTGGTGCTGCTGGTGGTGCTGAGCCTGGGGGTGCTGGGTCTGGGGGTGCTGAGCCTGGGGGTGCTGAGCTTGGGGGTGCTGAGTCTGGGGGTGCTGAGCCTGGGGGTGCTACGACTGGGGGTGCTGAGCCTGGGGGTGCTACGACTGGGGGTGCTGAGCCTGGGGGTGCTGAGCCTGGGGGTGCTACGACTGGGGGTGCTGAGCCTAGGGGTACTACGCCTGGAGGTGCGGAGCCTGAGGGTGCTGAGCCTGCTTGTGTGGCGTCTGACCATACTGGGCCTGGAGGTTCTCCGGGTGCTTCGACTCGGCGGGAGCTCCTCTCTCCACAGGAGCTGCGTGAGTGGTTTGCCCGGCGCTGGAGGCGTGCTGCTGGAGCTGGCGGTGCTACGGACGCTGGTGGGTCTGCTGCTGCTGAGGGTGCTGGTGCAGAGGGTCCCAGAGGTGCTCGTACAGGGTGTACTGGAGCTGCTGGGCCTACGGGTGCTCCTCCTGCTGGAGCTGGTGGTGCTCCTAGCGTTGGTGCTGCTGTTGCTCCTGGAGCTGGACCTGCTGCGTCTTCTGGTGGTCTGTCTGGAGCTGGAGCTATTGGGGGTGTTGGCAGTGGCGGTGCTACTGGCGCTGGTGCTTCTGGGGGTGCTGGAGTTGGCGCTGCTGGAGCTGGGGGTACTCCTGGTGCTGGTGCTGCCGTTGGGGGTGCTGGTGCTGTTCCTGCTGGCACTGGTGGAGCTGCGCGGCCACGGCCGTACTTCGTTCCGCTCCTTGAGCAGGTTCTTGGTCTTCCGTCCTCTCTTGGTCCTGCTCCTGGCTTAGAGTGTCCGCCTCCTGTCCAGTCTGAGTCACAGTTACAGCCAGCCTCCCCGCTTCCTTCTCCTTCTCCCTACACTGGTCCTACTGGAGGTCTTGCTGAGCGTCGTGAGCCTGCGTCTCGCCCTGCGTCGCCTGTCCGTGCTGCTCGCACTAGTGGTCGTGGTTCGCGTCAGCGTCCTCCCCCTGTCCCCGGCACGCACCGGATGTCTCTGCGTCCTTCCACTGCTCCACTGCGTGCCCCTTTGCCTTCTCCTCCCGCGTCCTCTCTTCCTGCACTTCCTGACCCGGAGTCGGACTCCCTTCGTGCTGCGCGTCCTACTGTCACGCGTCTCCTTGCTACTGTCGTCACTGACCCTTCCTTTGAGTCTACTGCTGCGTCTGCCCTAGTTGCTGAGCTTGTCGACTTCGCTGCTCGCTGTCGCCTAGACTACGCTGCCAGTCTCGTCGCTGAGTCTGAGTCTGTCTGTCCTCCGTACGTCGGGGGTGAGTGTGCTCTTGGCACGGACGTCCTTGAGGACAGGCAGGAGGAGTTCCAGTGCTTGGCTGCTGCTTCACCTCATCTCGTGTCCATGCTGCTTGCCCCTGAGGGAGACCCGGATGCACTTGACATCCCGACTCCGCGCTCTTACGCGGAGGCGATAGAGGGTCCCTACTCCTCTCAGTGGCAGGCAGCCATGGACGCAGAGATGGCTTCCTGGAAGTCCACAGGCACCTACGTTGACGAGGTTCCCCCGCCTGGGGCGAACATCGTCAGTGGCATGTGGATTTTCAGGGTGAAGCGGCCGCCGGGTTCTCCGCCTGTCTTCAAGGCGCGTTACGTGGCTCGTGGCTTCAGTCAGCGGCAGGGAGTTGACTACTTTCAGACCTTCTCTCCCACCCCGAAGATGACTACTCTTCGGGTACTGCTGCACATAGCCGCTCACCGAGACTACGAGCTGCACTCTCTTGACTTCAGCACTGCTTTCTTGCAGGGCAGCCTGCACGAGGAGATCTGGCTGCGCCGCCCACCTGGCTTCACTGGGACTTTTCCTCCTGGCACCCAGTGGAGCCTCCGGCGGCCAGTCTACGGTCTCCGCCAGGCGCCTCGTGAGTGGCACGACACACTGAGGACTACACTTGCGGCTCTTGGGTTTGCTCCTTCTACTGCCGACCCGTCGCTGTTTCTGCGCACCGACTCTTCCTTGCCGCCGTTCTACATCCTCGTGTACGTCGACGACTTGGTCTTTGCTACAGCTGACACTGTTGGACTTGCCTACGTGAAGTCCGAGCTGCAGAAGAGACACACGTGCACAGACCTGGGTGAACTGCGCAGCTACCTTGGCTTGCAGATCACCTGGGACAGAGCACAGCGCACCATTACCCTGACTCAGTCACACATGGTGCAGCAGGTCCTTCAGCGCTTCGGCTTCACGTACTCCTCGCCTCAGGCCACTCCTCTGCCTACTCGCCACTCGCTCTCAGCTCTGCCTTCGGATGAGTCCGTAGAGTCGAATGGCCCGTACCCAGAGCTTGTTGGCTGCCTCATGTACCTGATGACCTGCACTCGACCTGACCTAGCATACCCTCTTAGCATTCTGGCACGCTATGTTGCTCCTGGGAGACACAGACCAGAGCACATGGCTGCAGCGAAGAGGGTGTTGCGCTACTTGTGCAGTACGTCGGGTATGGGGCTTGTGCTTGGAGGGCAGAGTCCAGTGGTCCTCACTGGTCACGCAGACGCTTCTTGGGCAGACGACCAGGCTACGCAGCGGTCGTCACAGGGTTACACCTTCAGCCTTGGTTCCGGCTCTGTTTCGTGGCGGTCTACCCGCTCGTCTTCTGTTCTCGGCTCCAGTTGTGAGGCTGAGATCTACGCAGGGGCCATGGCTGCACAGGAGTTACGCTGGCTCACCTACCTGCTGACTGACCTCGGAGAGCCGCCTCGTTCTCCTCCAGTGCTGTACGTAGACAACAAGGCCATGCTGGCCTTGTGTCGGGAGCACAGACTGGAGCACAGAACGAAGCACATCGCTCTTCGCTACTTCCTTGCTCGTGAGCTGCAGCAGCGTGGTCAGCTGCGCCTTGCTTACGTGGCCTCTGAGGCCAACACTGCTGATATCTTCACTAAGGCACTCGCGCCTTGTGATCATCAGCGCTTCTGTACTCTGTTAGGTCTTGTGCCTACCTTGCCTCACTTGCTTACTTCTTGACCTTGCTTGTACTGTTACATATATATACCTGCCCTTGCTTGTTTAGCGTTATATATATGTAACCTTGCATGTGAACTGGCCTTGTGGCCTTGAACTTGTGCTCAGAATGTGTGGTGACATTGAGATCCACCCTGAGCTTGCTTTGCTTTGCTTGACTAGTCTTGTGACCCCTTGTTCTCCCCCACTTTGCCTATGGGGGTGTGTCAAACATTTATGCATGTTGTAGCTTTGTAGGCTACAGTGGGTTTAGCCTTAGAGGGTACAGAACTCTAGGGTTTCATATTTGTACTCTCATTCCTGTTAGTCATTCTCATTCTCGTTCTAATCTTCACACAGGCCGCCGGGACACACGGACAGAAACTACCCGACGGCTAAGCGGGGGTTGAAGAACGGCGTGAAGGGCAGGTTAAAAGCCGGTGTGAACGACCTGTGACCTTCCGTCGCCCGAACCTCACCATCCCCACCAAGTTTTAGTTCTGACTCATGCAGTCAACTTACTTGGCCGAATAACGGGGGTGAACACGTGGCCTACCCTGCGCTGGTTAAAAGCACCTGGGATGGTGCCCGTTCGACAGCTGTACGGAAAAAACAAAAAAGAAGAGTGGCGGCACTGTTCTACTCCGACAAAAGCGGGCTGGGTGAAACAGCACGCGAAAAAATCGGGGCGCCGCATGACAACGATGGTGCAGTTCGCTGGTTTCTCCTGACCCGGGCGTCTACACGAGGTGACGGCGCAGCGGCGAAGCAGGGACCGGGAGCTGTGGAGTTTAGTGGCGTGACGGGCGCGGTGGGCTGCAAAACGGTTGGGCGACAGTTTCCTTTTAAATAAGGGTCCCCGACTCCGATAGTTTTTGCCCCTCCACCGTGGCCGGGTTCGCGCAGGGCAACACCAACAATACTCCATCCGACAAAAGCGGACGCTGGGTGAACGGCGGGAAGCGGAATTGTCGGGGGGTGAAACGACCAAAAACTTGTGAAGCTGTGGGTATTCCTTCACTTCTTGGAGTGCGGTTGAGTCGTTGGGGGACTTCGCCTGAAGGGCACTTTTCGAAGTTGCCTGGCAAGAAACACAGCGGCAAGGATTCCTAGGACTTCCGGTGTTTAAACGCACACCTCGGGAAATTCTTCAGCAAAAAGGGAGCGGAGGAGCAGTCGTAGCTTCGGGAACTTATCGGCCGGCGACGAGCGATGGGTGAAACATCTGCAAAGCGCTGGTGGGAGAAACAGGGAGTTTTTGTTAAGCGACAACGGCGGGAGCAGTTTCGACTACGGGGACAACGACGTTGATGCCACTAGGTTCCGTGAAATTCGGTCTCGGAAGACCCAGGGCAGTCCCCGGTTCTCGATTGAACCCACATGCTGGGGTCGGGTAAACCGACGGAAACTGATGGTGACCGAGTGGGCGGCTATAGTACGTCCGAGATTTTCGGAGGCGAACTGCACCTGCAACTGCAGATTTTTCGGGGCTGTGTTCGAACGACATTTTCGGAGTTTTACGTGGGGACTACCAGTTTGCGGCGGGACGCGCCGACCATTTCGCGGGATTTCTACGGCGTTTGGTTAAACACGCGCGACAACGACGTGGGGCAACACCGCGGGAACTACACGGATTTTCAAGGCGGCAGCAACAGTGGAAGGGGGGAGAGACAGCTGCAAAATTTTCATCTCTGCTTAGGCGCCCTCGGCGCATTGCGACAAATTTCTCGGCGAGTCTAGACAAACCCGCCGGAGGTGGTGACATCATCTGACACCGGATCGACGTTTGACAGCGTTTTCGGAGTGACATTCGATTTTGGTTACAACTGCAACGACCATCGCCAACTCTCGTATTCGACTTCGCCATCAATCGCCATCATCGCCGTTATTTTCGTCCCTGCTCTACTACCGACAACCGCCCCAACTCGACCCGCCCACGACGACCAATTTGATTCTGCCTACGTCAGGTGCTGCCAGCTGCAACTGCTGAAGATTTTGCATGATTCTGGCGTGTGAACACAAAAAGCTTCAGTTCGAGTACTCAGCACTTTTGGTTTCGGTTTCTGGTCTAATGTTGCTGGTTCGCCCTTGAATATTTTATGGGCACGTGACACCTGGTTTCGTCATCGACTTTTCCACACCGATTTTCCACACCGACTCAATTTCACCTGGGCTTCTTCGCTCATCATTCGTTTTCTGTAGGATTTGACACCTGGTTTTTGTTGTTTTCATCTCGGCGCGGCTGCGAAACTTTACTGTGGTACATTTCTTGGAGGGGGGGAGAAAGTGCGCTGCACTGTTCTTTCCTTGGCGTTTTCTCGGCTTTCTTCTTGACCTTTGTCAGGTTGCGTCAGCACGACGGACGATCGCGATTACACCGACACGATCAACGACTCCAGATTGATCGCGATTGAATTTCGCGTCAGTCTGTTCCCTCCAAAATCGCATCTGCCTCGACCGTCAGGTCTACATCTGCTCCATCAACGGCCCACATTCCAACTTTCAATTCATTTGGGCCAGTTCATCCTCGATTGTCAGATCGAAATCTGACTGCATCAACGGCCTCAATTCCAACCTCTTTTTCAAATTCACCCAAGGGATTTCAGCCGTTGGATTCAGCTGAAGAGGAGATCTACGAAATCCTCGCTAGTGTTGGGCTTGTTGCGGTACAAGGCTGACTTATTTGGAAGGTGGGAGAGTGTAAGGAATTACAATTCCTTACTGTACTCGCACTTTAGCGAGTACATCCCGAAGGACACGCGACGAACCTGTTCGGCCTAATTCGTCGCACCGAACCACTCCCGAGTCGGCTCCGCACCAATCGCAACCATCACCGAGCCATCTTCGAACTACCTCTTTGCCTAGCTAGGATTTCCCCTATTTAGGCCTCGCTACTTCATTGTTTCGTCAACCGGTAATTCTCATTCTCGTTATTCGATATCTGCGCACTCTGACAAGTTCATTCATACCACAACAGGCAGTTTTTTGCTAAATTCAGTTCTTCCTAGTCACTGGCTCGTTCTGCTAGTTTTCCTGTACACCATTTCAATATTCTGACATGTTTTATACAAGACACTGCAGTTTCTCCTGTATGTATCATTGCACTCTTGTAGCGGATAACATGTGCCAGAGTGAGATGTACAGCTAAAATTTACCAGTATCACATAGAGCTGTTGTGAACTTCAGTGTCAGCATGTTTTCATCCAACCCATCGCCCTTAGGTTATATGGTAATTTACACTCCATTCCACTCAGTTATTTACATCTACACAAATATTGGTACGGTATGTTCCACAACCAACTGTCAGAAACTAGCAGCAGGAATGAATGAACTATGAAACAATTTGGTATAAGTACTAACCCTAACTGGGTTGTACCCCATATTGGCTACCCCACTACAGCCTACATAGCACAATATTCTGACGCACCCCCATAGGCAAGGTGGGGGAGTACAAGCAGTCACAGAAAAGCAAAGCAAGCTCAGGGTGGATCACGAAGTCACCACACAGTCCGAGCACAAGCAAATGGCCACAAGGCCAGTTCACATGCAAAGTTATAGAAAACAAAGCAGACAGTATAGTGATCACAACATAGCAAGTGTAAGCATGCATGTATATATATAGGTCACAGTACAAACAAAGTCACGCAGTGAGCAAGTGAGAAAACGTAGGCCCTAAAGTAGTACAGAAACGCTGATGATCACCAGGCGGAAGTGCCTTGGTGAATATACCCCGAGTGGTCATGTAAGCAAGACGAAGTTGATCACGCTGCTGCAACTCTCGAGCGAGGAAGTAACGCAGAGCTAGTGCTTCGTTCTGTGCTCCAGTCTGTGCTCCTGACACAAGGCGATAGCGGCCTTGTTGTCTACATACAGATTTGGAGGAGAACTAGGCCGCTCTCCCAAGTCAGTCAGCAGGTAGGTGAGCCAACGTAACTCCTGTGCAGCCATGGCTGCTGCGTAGATCTCAACCTCACAACTGGAGCTGAGAACAGAAGACGAGCGGGTAGACCGCCAAGAGACAGAGCCGGAACCAAGGCTGAAGGTGTAACCCTGTGACGACCGCTGCGTAGCCAGGTCATCAACCCAAGAGGCGTCTGAGTGTCCAGTGAGGACAACTGAACCCTATCCTCTAAGCACCAGCCCCATGCTTGATGTACTGCACAAGTAGCGCAGCACCCTCTTAGCAGCCTCCCAGTGCTCTCGCTGGTGTCTCCCGGGCGCAACCTAGCGAGCCAGGATGTTAAGAGGGTACGCAAGGTCAGGTCGAGTGCAGGTCATCAGGTACATGAGGCAGCCCACAAGCTCTGAATACGGGCCACTCGGCTCTACGGACTCATCCAAAGGTGGAGCTGAGAGTGAGTGACCGGCAAGCAGAGGAGTGGACTATGGTGAGGAGAACTGGAAGCCAAAGCGCTGAAGGACCTGCTGCACCATGTGTGACTGAGTCAGGGTGATGGTGCGCCGTGCTCTGTCCCGGGTGATCTGCAAGCCAAGGTAGCTGCGCAGCTCACCCATGTCTGTGCACGTGTGTCTCATCTGCAGCTCCGACTTCACAAGGGCCAGTGCCTCAGTGTCAGCAGTGGCAAAAACCAAGTCGTCGACATACACGAGGATGTAGAACGGTGGCAGCGAAGTGTCTGTGCGCAGAAACAACGACGGGTCAGCAGTCGAAGGAGCAAACCTGAGATCCACAAGTCTAGTCCTCAGTGTGTCGTGCCACTCACGAGGCGCCTGGCGGAGACCGTAGACTGGCCGCCTGAGCTTCCACTGGGTACCTGCAAGAAACGACCCAGTGAAGCCAGGTAGGCGGCGCAGCCAGATCTCCTCGTGCAGGCTGCCCTACAAGAAAACTGTGTTGAAGTCAATATAGTGAAGCTCGTAGTCACGCTGAGCGGCAACGTGCAGCAGCACCCGAAGAGTGGTCATCTTCGGGGTAGGGGAGAAGGTCTGGAAGAAGTCAACTCCCTGTTGCTGACTGAAGCCTCGAGCAACATAACGAGCCTTGAAGACAGGCGGAGAACCCG